GGTCGGTCATTTTGGTTGCATCAACAAGACATGATTCATGTGGTCCATTCCAACATACGGCGGCTGTGTGTCTGTGTCGAGGTGGAACTGTGCTCTGTCGTGTGTTAACTACTGGTTATTTAGGACGAAGATTGCCAGGCCTTTCTTCCAAAGTGCCTCTGGGCAGATTCAAACTTCTAACGTTTTGGTTAGGCGCTCAGAGTGTTCGCCTAGTATTATCTGTGGTTGTTGTTAGGTGCTGTTGAGTCACGTCCAACCCACATTGACCCTGTGAAGAATAGATCTGAACCCTGTCCTGACCTCTCCCACCTTCACACTTCCTGAGACACTCGAGCCCATTGCTGCAGTCACTACGTCAGTCCACCTGGTTGAGGGTCTTCCTCCCTTTCGCCTCCTTTCCACCTTTCCAAGCAGGATGTCCCTTTCCGAGGAACAGTCTCTCTGAGCTTTATGCTAAAGTTTGTGAGACAAAGCTTCATCTTTGCCTCTGAGGAGCACTCTGGCTGCACCCTCTCCAAGCCAAATCTGTTTGTTGTTTTGCTAATCCACTGACTAGTCATTACGCTTCTCCAACACCACAGCTCGAAGGCATCACAAGAACCCTGAGTGGTGGCTTTAAGGAGCAGACTTTAGTTTTCACAGTTCAGGGGGTTACAAGGCCAACCTCAGTGAGTCGGTTCTAGGGGAAGGCGCTCTGCTGGTTCTGTGGGAAGATCTTTGTCTGTTCCTGTTTCTGTTGCCCCGTTCCTCAGATCCCCGGTGAATGTCAAGTGGCTGTTGCCATCCCTCTGTGTGCTAATGTTCTCCAAAGCGAGAGGGCTAGGACCCACCTCATACTGCTGTGGCCTCATGGATGTAAGAGAAAATCCTATTCCCAAACAAGAGGATGTCATACATATTCTAGGGACCCAATTAAATCCACTAAGTGTTTGCAAGCCCTTATCTACAGCTAAGGAGCCCCGTGGCACCAGGGGTAAGGCACTGGATTGGTAAAAAGGTCAGTGGTTCGAATCCATGAGCCACTTTGGGGGATAAAGATAAGAAAGCCCAGCTGCTCTGTTAACATGACAGCCTTGGGAATGTCGCGAGGCAGTTCTGCTCTCTTCTCTAACAATACTGAGGGGGAGTCCACTCAGTGACAGTGTTGGGGAGATCTCAAAAGACAGTCATTGTGAGCAACAGCTCACCGTCTGGCAGGTTCTGAAGCTGCAAATGGCACAGGAGGAGAATGCCCGTCCTTCTTTGCAGAGCTGCGGCTCGAGTCCTCCTGCTGGAGAGGGGCCACCTTGAGTCAGCAGCATGATGCCCTAAGACCTGAGCCATGAGGTGCGCGGAAATCTACATACATCTACACCTCTGGCCCCATCCTTTCCCGACAACCAGCTCTGCGTTTGTGGTTGTTATGTGCTGTCGAGTTGCCTGTGACCCATAGCGACCCTGTCTGTGTACAGCAGCTCTAAACCTCGCCCTGTCCTGAGCCAGTCTCACTGACTCCGACACACCTATCCCCATTGCCCCAGTCATTGTAGCAATCCATCTCATCGGGGTCTTCGTTTCCTGCGCTGTCCCTTCACCCTTCCGAGCATAGTGTCCTTCTCCAAGGACCAGTCCCTCCTGGCCATGTGCCCAAAGAATTTGAGATGGAGCTTCAAAATCCTAGCATCCAAGGAAAACTTGGCTTCACCCCTCTAAGACAGACCTATTTGTTTGCTTGGTGGTCCATGGTATACTTAAAACTCTTCTCCAGCACCACAATTTTTCTTCTGTCACCCTTAGTCATTGTCCAGCTCTCTGATGTAATTGCGAAGACCCTAGCTGGGTTAGGTGCACCTTAATCTCTAGAGTGACGTCGTTGCTCTTCAGCACTCTGGAGAGGTCCCTGACAGTAGATTTACCGAATGCAATTCGTCTTTTGATTTCCTGACTGCTGCTGTTAAGAGTGTTGACTGTGGAGCTGAGCAAGCTTCAATCTCTTCTCCATCTGTCATGGTGCTGCCAATTGGCCCACTGGTTAGAATCTTTGTCTTCCTGATATTAAAGCTCAGGGTACCCAGCTGCATGTTAGAAATGACCAGGCAGCATCTCAAAGTTCCCTGTCCCCATTTCAGAATAAGGCACATCCCCTCAAGTGCTGAGGCCCAAGCCCTCTAACTCCTTTACCTCCTCAGTCCTCACTACCACATCCATCAGCATCTCCCATGGCAAGACCTTTGACACAAGCCTCAGTGCCACCCAACAAGTCTCGCCAGGAGTGGAGCATGTCCTTACGGACTCGAGCCTCTAGGCGAAGAAGCTCAATGACACCAGGGAAAGGCCAAGTTCAGTGGAGAGCTTCGGGAACACGGGGCCTACAGACACTGAAGGAACAAGAACCTTCCTCTAGAACCAACACAGGGCCTTCCCCTAGAGCCGGCACCCCGAAACACAACTGCCAGCATCCTAAACGGTAGGAGAATACATTTCTGTTTGTTAAAGCCAAACAAAAAGGACAATGTATGGGGAGTGGACCATCCCTCTCACTTTCCGTCTCTCTGGGGAAGGGCGCGCTATCCTGACTTAACCGACGACGGGGCAATTTCCGGGCAGCCAGAGTCATTTTCCTGAACCATTAAGACAATAGCGGCTTGCAAGCACGCACACACCATCAAAGGCCATGCTTTTTGTAAGTGCTTTCTCCATGTGCAGACACTCCGTCCTCACAACAGCCCAAGGGGCAGGATGCAGAGACCCAAGAGCACACCCAGTGCGCTCTCCTCTGATCCAGCTTCCTCTAACTCAGGGGGCAACCCCACCAGGATGTCAATTCACCACCTCACCCTCCCAAAGCCTCACCCCAGTTCCAAACCACTGAGGTACCATCCAAGCCTCACTCACACTCCCCACCCCGGCCCCGAGAACTGCCCAACCTCAGTCCCACTGGCTAAGGACCTGACCCATCCCTGCTACCAAGGAAAGTCAGCCATGCCAGGCCCCTTACCTGGTCCTTACCGGTCAGGCACAGGCCCTGGCACTGCCAGGCCACTGAGACCTGCTTTAGGTTGCACCCAGTTAACTTATGCCCATGCACATCCCCACTCACCACTCCTTGACCTGAGTGGACCCCTGCAGTCCTACCCCCTAGGTCCAGCCCAGCACTGCCCTAGCCGACTTACTGACCCAAGCCCAGGCATCTAGGCTCAAACAGGTCACCCTCCCCCTCAGTTATGCCCCCTCTTTGCTGCAGAAGGTCCAGGACTGCAGTCTCTAATACAGTTTGAAGCTCAACATTAAGAAAACAAAGATTTTCACAACTGGGCCAACTGGCAGCATCATGATAGATGGTGAAAAGATTGAGATTGTTAACAGTTGGAATTTGTTTGGCTCCACAATCAGCAGTCTTGGTACCAGCAGCCAGGAAATCAAAAGATGACTTGTATTAGGAAAATCAGACCTCTCCAGACTTATAAAGAGCAATGATGTCAGTGTAGAGACTAAGGTGCACCTGATCCAAGCCGTGATCATCTCAATTACTTGCTCTGCATCAAAAAGCTGTACAACGACTAGGGATGATAGAAGAATTGATGCTTTTGAACTGTGGTGTTGGAGAAGAGTACTGAATATTCCATGGACTGCCAGGAGAACAAAACAGGCTCGTCCTGGAGAGGGTGAAACCAGGCTGCTCTTTGGAGCCAAGGATTCTGAAGCTCTGACTGACATAGTTTGGGCATGCTGCCCAGAGGTAGCAGTCCTTGGAGAGGGACATCATGCTTGGGAAGGTGGAAGGACAGCTCGAGGAAGGAAGTCCCTTGATGAAATGGATTGATTCAGTGACTGGTGTGTCACAGACAATGAGATTGGCTAAAGATAGAGCAGGGTTTAGGACTGTTGTACACAGGTCGTTATGAGTCACAAACGACTAGATGGCACATAACAACAACAACAACAACAGCAACTCCCTCCCTGGCATTCTTAAATCCTGGCCAGACTCTGGCTCAGTCCTGCCCCTAAGCTTTCTGAGACAAATCCTCAAACTGCCCCGCCTAAACCTCGTCCACCCAGCCCCCAACCTGTCTAGGACACGCCCCTGCCTAGGTCCCCAACCTGACCCACTCCAGTGTCGCCCTGTCTGGGAGGTCCTGTCCCAACTACTCCCTGCCCAGACTGGCCCTACACAGTCCAAACCCACCCTGGCTCGCCTTAAATCCCGTCCTAATCCCGCCCTGCCCCCTCACCTGCTGAGGACCCCAATTCACCTTGATCTCAGCCTGACTTCGCCCCTAGTCCCCGCCCCGTCCCCTGGACGCCTGAATCCTGCTCCGTCTTGCCACACCTGCTGAGGACTGACTCCCAACCCACCTAGGTCCCTGCAGCCTCGGCTTCCACCCAAGATTCCTACTCCTTCGATCCAGACTAGCCCGCTTCTATTCCCTCCCCCATCCCCGTCCCATCCCCGCCCCCCACACCTCCATCCCCTCCTCCGTCTCTGCCCCTTCACCATCCTCATCCCGGCCTTCATCCCTCCCCATTACCGCCTCCATTCCGCTCCACCCACCCCATCCCACCCCGCCCACGCCTCCACCCCAACACCGCCCCCACTATCCTGCCCCATTCACGCCTCCATCCACGCCCCCACCCCACCCAGCCACGCCTCCATCCCTGCCCCATCCTCGCCCACCTCATCCTGCTCCACCCCTACTCTATCCCTCCCCACCTCCTTGTCACTCCCTCGCCACCCCCTCGCCGCCCCTACCCTATCCTGCTTCACTTACACCTCCATCCCCGCCTCTATCCACCTCCCCAACCCTACCCAACCACGCCTCCACCTCTGCCCATCCCCGCCCACCTCATCCCGCCCCACCTCCACCTTCATCTCTGCTTCTATCCCCACCCCATCGACGCCCCTCCCTAACCCGCCCTCCCTCCCCATCACCACCCCATCACCGCCTCTACCTTATCCTGCCACACTCACCTCCATGTCTCCTATACCCACGCCCCCACCCTATTCCTGCCCACCCCTCCAGGCCCGCTCTATTCCGCCTAAGTCCCATCCAGACCCCGCCCAGGTACCTCCCCCTTCCCCCAGATGCGGACTGTCCCGCCCAGTTCAGTCCAAGCCCCGCCTCATAAGATCAGGTCCCGCCCCGTCCAGCCCGCCCACCTCTGGCGCTCAGGGCATCACGTGAGCCGGCGACCCGGAGGCGGAACTGGGTGTGGTGTGGACCCGGCAGCGCCGAGCCGAGCGCGGAACCCCGGCTGTGCCGCCTGCGAGTGGGGTACCACGGCCCCGCACGCCCGCACCTCCAGCACCCCGCCATGCGTCCCCAGGCACCCCACAACCCGCGCCCAGCTGTGCGTCCCCCGCAACCCCACAGCCTGTGCCCTACTGTGCGTCCCCCGGCGCCCCACAGCACGCGCCCAGCCGTGCGTCCCCCGCCACCTCGCACCCCGCGTTCAGCCATGCAGCCCCCGCAGTCCCCCTCCGCGCGCCCAGCTGTGCGTCCCCCAGCGCCCCACACTCTGCGCCCAGCTGTGCGTCCCCCGGCGCCCCACACTCTGCGCCCAGCCGTGCGTCCCCCGCCACCTCGCCCCTTGCGCCCAGCCGTGCGTCCCCTACAGTCCCCCTCCTCGCTATTCGCTCTCCTGGCCGCCCTGCTCCCCATGCTCTCCGCCGTCCTCGCAGAACCCCCGCTTCTGGTGCGCGTGGACGCAGCCCGCACGCTGCGGCCCCTGCGACCCTTCTGGAGAAGCACGGGCTTCTGGTGAGCGCTGCGGGGAAACTGAAGCGGCCCACGCTGCCCATCTCCCTACCTCGCGCTCCTTGGAAAAGCTGGCTGGCTTGTGACTCTGGCAGGGGCCCTAGGGAGTCACTCCCGGGTTTCCTGCGCCCCCAGTGAAAACCTGTGTCCAGGGAGGAGTGGTCAGGACAGGGTACCGCGCCACTTCCACTCTGGCGCCCACCTGTGTCGGCCCACCCTCAGTCAGCGTGGGGGGTCCCCAGCCTGCTTATTGCTGGGTCAGGCATTTGAGCTTGGGGAGGGGTCTTCTACCTGATGGATTCCCTTGTGTAGTGGAGCCTGAGCTTGTCGGGTGTGGTCACAGCGCCCCCAGGAGTCTGAAGAGCCCAGTGGTCAGAAGAGGTGCCCACGATAAGGGCCTTGCTGTTCCAGCGGCTCCACAGGAGGCTGGTTGAGGACACTGTCCTGGGCAATGGAGGGCTGACCCCAGTGGGCAGGCCTCAGCCAACAGCCCCCGGGTTTAGGACAATCTTGGGGAGGGGCCCCCACTCCCCCACTGGAGGCTTGGAGCAGGCAGCGCAAAGGGCAGGGAGATGGGCCTCCATAGCCCCGCCCCCTCCCCCCATATGAACAGGAGACTTAAGAACATTCTCGGTAGAAGTGTCGTTTTATTACCACCAGGGGACAGTGGTGAGGACTCACGTGGCTGTCCCTCCAGTGGGTTTTCAGAGGCAGTTAATTACAGGGGACCCCATCCTTCTCCTGTGATGGCTTCTAACCACGTGCCTTTGAGATTGCAACACAGCTTCTTGCCACTAGGCCACCAGAGTGGATTTGATTATTTCTTTGTTACTGGCCTACGACCTACTATTCCAAATTAGAAGACTCTGCTTCCTGTTAAACTGAGATCCGGGCATGAACCTTGCCCTGAGGAAGTTTGGATTGATTGTAGGTCAGAGGACATCCAAAAAGAAAATGTTTCTGGTTTATTTATTGACCCTTTGAGGTTGCTATCGAAGCTCCTTGGAGGCAAGGACTCTGGGGCTTCGTCTGACATATTTTTAGACATGTTGCAAGGAGGGACCAGTCCTTGGAGAGGGACGTCATGCTTGGGAGAGTGGAGGAATGGAGAAGGAGAGGAAGACCCTCGATGAGATGGATTGATAAGAGTGACTGGGATTATGAGGGTGGGTGTATCAGAGACAGTAGTAAAGTTGGCACAGGGTAGAGTAAGTAGGTTTCAGGGCTGTTGTACGTAGGATCTCTGTGAGTTGCACACGACTCAATGGCAGGTGACCCTCGAGGCCCAGTAGCTTGCTGGAGGCACGGAATGTCCATAGGAAGCACCATCTGCTCCGCAGTCACCCCTTTAGTCTAACACAGCCACTGCTCTTGTTCCTGTCCCCAGCCCCCCACTGCCACATGACCAGGCTGACCAGTACGACCTCAGCTGGGACCAGCAGCTCAACCTTGCCTACGTGGGCGCTGTCCCTCACGGGGGCATCGAGCAGGTCCGGACTCACTGGCTGCTGGACCTCGTCACGGCCAGGTGGGTGACTGTGAGGGGAGTACGTGGGGCAGCTGGCGAGAGCCCCCTTTATAGAGTCCTGAGACTGAAGGGCTGAGGGGCAGTGGGGCCAGTCAGTTGCTGGCCCTGGAAAAGAGAGGGGGAGCCCCTCAGGCCTCAGGATGGAGTGGGAGGGACAGTGCGCAGCTTTAGGGGTCTCTAAAATAGGGGTTCAGGTACACGCCTCCCTCTGAGGGATGCTGACCCCTGCTTTTCCTACCCCAGGGGCCTGTTGGGGTGGGAGGGCACCCTCGCTGGGGACTGGGGTTCTGGGGGACAGCACCTGGACTGGCACGGCTGACTGTGGGCCCAGTGCACCTCACTTCCCTCCAGGGCTCCAGGCCAGGCCAGCTGTGTGTGTGTCTGATCCTGGCCCAGCTGTGGCCGGTGGCTAGCTCTGCCGCGTGCTGGTCGGTCCCACCTACTTGTGGCCCTGGCACTGGACCACCTGCCATGGAGCAGGGTGTGGCACCAGGAGTGTGAAGAGCACTTGGGTGGGTGGTGTGGGGTGGGCGTTCCCAGAGGCACAGAGCGGCTCTGCATCAGGGTCCCTGGCCTTGACCCTGGGATTGTGGGGGCTGGGCACCCTGCTGGCATTGATTTTTTTGGGGTCACGTGCAAAATGAGTCTGTGGGCGGTGAAAGCACCTCAGCCCACTCACCTGGCTGCAGACTGAGGGCTGGCAACTTGAGACCACTCAGAGGTACCGCAGAAGGAAGGTCTGGTGATCTCTTTCCAAAGAGGCAGCCAGTGAAGGACCCCACTGTGGCACATGTGGGGTCACCACGCGTCGGATTTGACCACGGTGCACCGTTTTGTCGGTGCAGAATTAGACGCAGGGACCCTTATTCGAACGTGAAGGATTCAGACTGGGATAAAAAACTGAAAACCAAGTGTGGGGGTGGATTCTGGGTCCTGCTGCACTGAGTTTCCGAGGCTCCAGTCTCCCAGGAGGAAACCGTCCATCCTCCCGAGGAGAGGCAGGCGGCTTCGAACCGCTGACTCTGCTCAGCAGCCTGACATGTTGAGATTGGAATTGTGGCTCTCTGGAGTGGCGGCCGGGGCCTGCCCTGTGGCCTGGATTGGAGTCTGCAGCGTTGGCAGTAATCTTGCGTCCTCAGGCGTTTGGAGGGGGTGCCAGCTGTCCCCCCTCCCCAGCGGAACTCCCCGGTTTCCCTGGGGCAGGTGGGATGCCATGGGGGTGTGGGAGAGTCCGTGGCCGACTGCAGCCAGCAGTGGCCGCTGGTCCCCAGGCAGGGATGTGGCGGTCCTCTGGGGTCTGAACTCCCGGATGCTGCCCCCCTACACGGTGGAGTGGGCAGCGGCCAGCTCCCCCTGGCGGGCCCGGGCCGCCCGCACGGCGCTGTACACGCTGTGGAACAGCTGCTCGTCCTCGGCCGCGTCTCCCTCGTCCGCCCCCAGGAAGCCCCCTCGGGTCAGCACGCCCCTGACCACCGGGCTGCAGCCGGCCAGCAGCAGGGCGATGCCCAGGGCGGCGTAGTCCCGGCGCAAGCCTTGTAGCGCGGCCAGGCCGGCCACGTCCAGGAACAGCAGCGGAGCGCAGTCGATGACCACTGTGTGGAAACTGGCCGCTGAGGGCACCAGCGCAGACGAGGTGCCCATCGGGCCTGGGTCCTTGCCACCCCGGCCGCCCCCCTTGCCAGCCCGCGCCTCCAGCTCCCGCCTCCTGGCGGCCGCCCGCCCCACATCCAGCCCGGTGAGGCCATACAGCGAACGCAGGAAGAAGTCCTTGTTGGCGTAGTAAAGGGGCCCCGCAAAACGGAAGACCTGCACCCCGGGTTCCGGGACGAGGCCCTCAAACTCCACTGTGTCCTCATAGAAGGTGGAGCCGCCCACGCGAGCCAGCAGGGCAGCGTGGGGCCGCTGCGTGCGACCAGCCAGACTGAAAAGGGACAGCAGCACGCCGGCCAGCAGCCCCGCCTCCACGCTGACCAGCACGCAGGTGGCTGCAGTGACCCCCCAGACCAGCGCATCGGCCGGGCTGAGCCGCCACAGCCTCGGGAGGTCGCCCGCCTTGCGCAGGGCCCCGCGCAGGCTGACCACAATGACACAGGCCAGCACGCACCTCTGCAGGTCCCGGAAGAGCGGCGCCAGGGCCAGCAGCACCAGCAGCACCACGGCAGCGCTCACCACGCTGGACAGCTGCGTGCGGCAGCCGGTGGCCGTCTTCACCAGGGTCTTGGCCAGGGCGGCGCTGGTGACGAAGCAGTGGAAGAAGGCGGGCACCACGTTGCAGCAGCCCACGGCCAGGAGCTCCTGGTTGGCGCGGACGGAGTAGCCGTGGCTGCGGGCGAACATCTCTGCCAGCGAGATGGAGAAGGCGGCGCCCACCAGGGCCACGGGCACAGCGTCCAGCGCCACGCGCCACATCAGCCGGGCGTCGGGCGCCTGCGGAGGGAGGAAGCCGGTGGGGATGTCCCCGGCCACGCTGGAGCCGAAGCGCTGGTGGAACTGGCCCAGGTGGGACACCAGCGTGGCCACCACGATGACCACCAGCTCCGTGGGCAGCGGCACCCTCAGGCGGTGCCGGTAGCGGTCGGCGAGCTTCCGGGCAGCCAGCAGCACGGCCAGGCACACGGCACTGGTGAGCACGTCGCACAGGTTGGCCCGGGGGATGCTGTGCAGGAGACTCAGCCAGGTGCTCAGCACCATGCCCGGGCCCTGGTGCCGTGGGATGCGCACGCCCAGCAGGTGCCGGACCTGCGAGGTCAGGATGGTCAGCGAGGCCCCCATGGCGAAGCCGTCCAGCAGGGGAGGGGAGAGGTAGGCAGAAAGGAAGCCCAGCCGGAGGACCCCGAGGAGGACCTGTGGACAGAGCGTGGTCAGCACCCGACCCCTCACTGTGACGAGTACCAAGCCCCTGCCCTCCAGCTGAGCCTGGTCCCTGGTGACCCTGTCAGGCTGGACATCTTTACGGAGGAGACTGCCCGTCATTCTCCACAGGGCGGCTGGTGCCTTTGAACCGCTGACCTCTTGGTTGCTGTTAATGTGGGCCGTCAAGTCGGAACTGACCCTCAGCTGACCCTCCAGCAGGTTCTCAGAGACAGTAAATTGCATGGGAGGAGACCACCCATCTTTCTCCTCCAGAGCACCAGGTGGATTTGAACCTGTGCCTTTGGGATTGGAGTGCAGGTTCTTTCTGCTAGGGTAGCAGCCTGGAAGATGCCACTGGGACTCCCCCACCCCTGGGTACCCTCTGGGGTCTGAGGCCTGATGTGGACACCCCTGTCTGAAGTGCCCCTTACCTGTTTAAATCCCAACTGACCTTAAGGCTGGGCCAGCCCAGCCCTGACCCATGCTCTCTTGCGGGGTGGGCTGTGAGCGTCCCGGGTTGCGCCCCATCCCGCCCCACTGGTCTCTCACCTGGTAAATCCCAGCCATCAGGGTAAGGGCCGTTGCCACACGGATGGCGTAGCAGTCCCGCCCACAGTCCTGGGGGCCAGGTGACAGCCCAAGGGCTGAGGTGTTGAGGGCGCTGTCGTTGGTCCCCAGAGCCCCCTGGGCAGGGTCAAAGCCGGCCATCTGGAGCTCGCGGTCCACCACCTGGCCCACCATGAGGCAGAGCAGGCTGAAGATGCCCACAGACACGTGGCGGGAGGTGCCCAGCAGGAAGTAGATGAGGTTAGCGAAGAAGGAGGTGTAGAGGCTGTAGAGGGGCTGCAGGCCGGCCAGCAGCGAGTAGGCGATGGCCTGAGGCACCAGGATGATGCCGATGACCAGCCCCGACATGACGTCGCCCGCCAGGTCCTCCCGCGGCCGGTAGCGGGGCAGCCAGCGCGTGACGGGCACTAGGTCCTGCAGCAGCTCCTGGGCCCGCCGGCCCCCACACGCACAGCTCTGCCGCAGCCGCCCCTTCAGCGTCTCCAGCAGGCCTGGGGGGGCTGGGGGCCGCCGGCGGACCAGCACCAGTCCTCCGTCCAGCTGTGCACACTCGGACGCTGCATCCATCCTGTGGTGCCAAGACCCTGAAGGCCAACCTGCAAGGGAGAGTGGGGAGTTTACAATACCACGGTCTAGGTGGGGTTTATGAGGAGAAGTGTGGCATCGGGATTGGAGGAAGACTCACCAACCTGCATTATGCAGATGACACAACCCTGCTTGCTGAAACTGAGGAGGACCTGAAGCGCCTGCTGCAGAGAGTCAAGGACTGCAGCCTCCAATATGGATTGAGGCTCAATGTTAAGAAGACAAAGATTCTCAACACCGGGCCAACTGGCAGCACCATGATAGATGTAGAAGAGATTGAGATTGTTAAACATAACACCTTGCTTGGCTCCACAATCAGCACTCTTGGTACCAGCAGCCAGGAACTCAAAAGATGACTTGCATTAAGAAAATCTGCTGTCAGGGACCTCTCCAGAGTACTGAAGAGCAATGATGTCAGTCTAGAGACTAAGGTCTGCCTGATCCAGCCCATGGTCTTCACAGTTACTTGCCATGCATCAGAGAGCTGGACAATAACTAAGGATGATAGAAGAATTGATACCTTTGAGTTGTGCTGGAGAAGAGTGTTGAAAATACATGGACTGCTAGGAGAACAAGCAGGTCTGACCTGGAGAGGGTGAAACCAGGCTCCTCTTTAGGCAAGGCTTTTGAAGTTCTTCCTGACATACTTTGGGCATATTGCCAGGTGTGACCAGACCTTGGAAAGAGACATTATGCTTGGGAGGGTGGAGAGACAGTGCAAGAGAGGAAGACCCTGGATGAGATGGATTGATTCAGTGAGTACTGGGGTACTGAGTATAGGTGTGTCAGAGACAGTGAGGTTGGCACAGGATAGAGCAGGGCTCAGAGCTGTTGTACACAGGGCCACTATGAGTCACAAGCGACTTAATGGCACATAACAACAGGTCTGAGCAGCCAGGGTGCAGAGATCCTAAGGCCGAGGGCACCCTGCTCCCGGGAACCGGAAGACGGTACTGAAGACTAGATTGTCTTGATGGTGGGGGCCACAGACTTGCTGCCGAGCGTGGACAGTGTCCCCCGCGTCCGGCACTCAGCAAGTCCAAGCACTCGTCCCACCTGCCTGGTGCCCAGGGAAGATGCCACATCCACTTGCTGCCCAGTACTGAGATATCCTCCTCTCCAACACCCCATCTGCCTGCTGTCGAGGACAGACAGCCAGCATGCCACCAACCCAGCGCTCTGTATGGACAGTGCTCCTTCTACCAGACACAGCTGCGTCCACCTTCCAGTGCCCACTGCAGATGATGCACCCCCCCCCCAATCTGGCATCCCAGCCTGGACAGCACCCTATCCGCCTGGTCCCAGTGTGACGTCACTTCCCGCCAAGGTTGTCAGTCTTAGAGGTGAGATGCCACAGTGACAAACAGCCCCAGAGGGCAAGGCCAGCCCAGCCAAGGGGGGGGGGACAGCTCTGGAGGATGTCCCGCCAAGCCAGCACAGCCAGTGCCACCAGTAATCTGAAATGAGGGGGTGTAGTCCGTGGGGAGAGTCTGCAGTCAGGGACCTCTCCAGGTTACTGAGTAATGATGTCACTTTGAGGACAGAGGAGCACCTGGTTCAAGCCTTGGTCTTTTCAGTTACTTGCTGTGCATCTGAGAGCTGGACAATGAATAAGGAGGACAGAATTGGTTTTCTTTGAGCTGTGCTGTTGGAGAGGAGCACTGAACATCCCATGGACGGCCAAGAGAACAGATGCGTCTTGGAGAAGGTGCAGCCGGAGTGCTCCTCGGAGGCAGAGACAACAAACTTCATCTCACATACTTGGGGCGTGTTGCTAGGAGAGGTCATCCCTTGGAGGGGGACATCTTGCTTAGGAACCAAGAAAGCACCGAGGGTCAGCTGAGACACTTCCGACTCGACGGCAGCGAGTGGCGAGAGGGTGGCCCAAGCAGTTTGGTTAACCGCTTGGCTATTAACACAAAGGTCAGCAGTTCAAAAAATGGGGGAACATGCTTCCCTGAAGATCCTGGCCTCTGAACACAGCGGGCACCCCCACTCTGCCCTGCACCCTTGGTCTGAATCAGCACTGACCCCTGGCAGCCGGAGCTGACTTGGCAGTGGGCACCTCCACTCTGCCCTGCATCAGCACTGACCCTTGTCAGTCAGAGCTGATGAGTGAGCTCCTCTGAGAAGAGTGTACTGGGCTGTTCCCACCCACCTGCTCAGAGCTTGGGGTCGGGGAGGTCAGGCATACACGTGATCAGAGCTGAGCGCTCTGCTGATACCTGCCTTCGTCCCCCAGCTAGCAGAAGACCGTTGCCCTCTGCCTGGCACCCACCCCAAGACCCCCTAGCATGTCCAGTCTGTCCTGGAACCACCACTCCACAGATCCCTCCAGCCCCATTTGCCGCCACAGGGCCTGGTGCTGGGCAGGGGCCCCTGAGGGAGAGGGCTTGTCTGACCCCCAAGTCCAGGCCTGGAAGCTGGTCACTTGGACATGAGGGCCATGCCATCCTCCAGTCCCCATGAAGGGTGCTCGTCCACAGCCTCGGAGGACTGACCCTGGCCCAAGCTGCATGATGGCCATTCTCCGGCCCAGCTGTACCCAGACCCAGAGGTTGGTAACATTTGGGGGCCTGCCCCAAACAGCATAAGCAACTTGTGGGTGCATGTGCCGGGCTATGTCTACCATCCCCCAGAGCCAGCCCTCTGCAAACCCCAGCCCCAGCCTTGACCTCACTTTGAGAGCAGGGCCATGGGGTCATAACGAGGGTGGCATTCGCAGCTGGCGTCACAGCCGTGGTTCAGGGGTGGCGACTCTGCACTGTACAGATGACCAAGAGGGAGCCACCCTGAGCTTCACCTGTCACTTAGTCCTCTCATGGTGACCTGGAGGCTCTGCCTCCAAGTGTGAATGACCCGTGGGCGTTGTCAGGACACAGAGGGGCACAGTTAGCTAGCCCAACTTTGGAGGACAGTAGTCCCTGGCCTGGCAAGGAAGGGGTGGTTTCGAGGGGTAAACCCCAGTCCTGCAGAAAGGCACCCTGGAGATCTCCCCCTGGCAGCCCCTGGCCACCTTGAAACTCCCCAGAGCCTTGGGGACTCAGGCAGGGTGGCACTGGGCTTTCAGGTACCACCCTGACGTCGGGAATGTTGTCCTCAAGCATGCTGCCCACCTCCTACTGCACCGCGAGCTGTTCTCTGCTGGGGAGAGGGGACCCCATCGGGGACCTGAGATGGATCTTACCTGAAGGGTGCTGCTCGACGCTGTCTGGGCAGCAGGACAGTGGGGGCTGGCTCTGCCGTGCAGCCAAGCCAGTGGTCCACTCAGGCTGGTTGATGTGGCCAGACCCCGAGACCGGCTGTCTTTTGGGCGGGGTGGGGGGGTACCTGGGCAGCAGCGCTCCGTCTCAGGACTGGCCACCCTACCCCACCGCACTCGCTGTTAAATTATTTACTCCAGAGATCGCAGAGTCACATGATTCTCCAGACACGTGTTACCTGAGCGTTAATCTGGGGAGTTGAACCGTAATCAGAGGCTCCCCGTAATTACAGCGGTGTGAGCCTTTGATAAGCTCAGAGCACGGGCTCCAGCGGGAGGCTGGGGGCTGAGCTTCGAGTGTGGGGGTGTTTGAGCCCCTGCAGTGGTGAGGGGGGCAGTCCGCTGGTCCCAGGCTGAAGGCAGTCAGCATGGGTCCCCTTCAGGGCCACATGGAGTGGCCCCAGCAGACCTGGAGGGCATGAAGGGTGGGACCAGTTGCAGTCTTCAGCCAGGGGCAGGTGTCTGTGTGCCTGGGCCCAGGGTCCCACTGACACCCACTGTTATAGCCAGGTGTGCATGTGGGGGACCAGACCCCCAGATTCCAACCTGGCCCCATCCAGAGCTGCCATGGCCAGGAAGCATTGGCCTCTGCACCCCCTCCCTCCACAGCTGGGGACCACCCGGGCTCGTCGGGCTGATGTGATGATGAATGACCCTTTGGGGTGAAATTCGTGCCTAGGTATGCTCTGGGCAGCACAGAGGGTGAGCTGGCGTCTCTCTGCAGGGTACGGTCAACACGCTCTGCTGTAACTGCAAGGTTGGAAGTTCAAGTTCACCCAGAAGTGTTGTGGAAGAAAGGCTTGGCACTTTAAAAAACTCAGCCAAACTCAGCCCTGGGAGGGAAACCCTGGGGGCTGAGTTCGCCCACAGTACAGGTGGGACGCTGAGGGCTGGGTCAGTTTGATGGCTGTCAGTGCTGCTCCAGGCCTGGTGGCACAGCCCATGAAGCCATGAGCGGCTAATGAAAGGTTGGAGGGTCACACCCACTGCTTGCTCTGAATGAGAAAGAGGAAGTGGGCACCTCCTGAAGCCACATCTCCCTGGAGCCTGGGGCAGCACTGCCCTGTCCCCCAGGCTGGGGAGGCTGCAAGGAGGCGGGGAGGCTGCTGGGCGGCAGAGCCACATGACGCTGGGAAGCTTCCTGGCTGCTGTTTTATTCGCTTGGTTTGCTGCTGGGAGCTCTGCTGGGGCAAAGGGTGAGGCTTTCTGTTCATAACCAGAGGCACCGCTCAAATCAGTGGGCGCTCAGAGGGTTCCTCAGAAACCCCGTCCCACAGGGCGGCAGTGGGTGGGCACCACCCCACAGGGCGGCCGTGAGTGGAATCCCCCTGGTCGTGGGTCAGAACCATCACCAGGGCGGCTGTGGGTCAGAACTGTCTGCAGGGGCGGCCGTGAGCCGAATCCCCCTGGCCGTGGGTGAGTGAGCTCACTGCTAGTGGTGGTGTTAGGTGCCACTGAGTCGGCCATGACGCACGGCGACCCTGTGAACAACTGGTCTGAGCTTTGCCCGATCCTGGGTTTTCCTCCCCATCGCTGGTATAACTGAACCTACTGATACAGTCACTGTGCCAGGTCCTGTTGTTGAGGGTCTTCCTCTCGATGAACTTTCACCTTTCCAAGCATAATGTCTCTTCCCGAGGACTGGCCCCTTCTGCCCAAGGCATGTGAGACGAAGCTTCCCCACGCTCGCCTCCCAGGAGCACTCTGCTGCACCTTCTCT